CACCAAAATCAGCTGTCACTATAAACCATTCACAACAACCGGAACCATCTTTTGGAAAACGGACCGAACTAATTTGTACTCCCAAAATTTACGGTGAAGATATTCTATCAAAATCAGCAGCACGGAAATGGTTCGCTCGTTTTCTGGAAATTTCGATGAAAGATGAACCTCGCTCCGGTCAACCAATCACTGAAAAGTCCGATGAAATCATGGAAAAAGTCGAGTGTGATAAGCATGTGAGCACTGTATAGATTGTTAGGGAACTAGGCATCGACTACAAAACAGTTTTAAATCATTTGCACAAAGCTGGATACAAAAAGAAACTCAATATTTGGGTTCCTCACGAGTTGAATGTAAGAACATGATGGACCGAATTAACATTTGCGATATACTGAAACAGAATGAAATTGAATTATTTCTGAAGAGAATGATAACTGGTGATGGAAAAATGGATCACGTATGACAATCGAACTCGCAAAAGATCGTGGATAAAGAAAGGAGAAGGCACAAGCAATCGCAAAATCTGGATTGACGATAAAGAAGGTGATGTTGCGTGTGTGTGGTGGGATTGGAAGGGAATCGTTCACTATGAGCTATTATCGCCTGATTAAACAATTAATTCCGAACTCTACTGTGAACAACTGGAGAGATTACAAGCAATTGAAAAGAAGTGGCCAGAATTAATCAATAGGAAGGGTATCGTCTTCCATCACAACAACGCTCGACCACATATATCTTTGATAACTCGACAAAAATTGCGAGAGCCTGGCTGGGAAGTTTTAATGCATCCACCATATAGTCCTGATACCACCCCATAGCATCCTCAGATTATCATTTGTTTAGATCTCTGCAGAACTTTCTTAATGGTATAAAGCTGGCTTCAAAAGAGGCCTGTGAAAATCACTTGAAGCAGTTTTTCGACCAGAAACCACAAAAGTTCTATTGCGATGGGATTATGCTGACCCAGGGTTATAGTATTAGACTGCCCCAAAAATGGCAAAATAATGGAACATATTTGATTTAAATAAATTGATTTTAATACTCTAAGAAAAACACTTGAATTTTACTAAAAAACTGCCACAAACTTTTTCCCACTATTAATATTTAGCGAATATACTTAGGAAATGCGTTTTTTACTTAGAAATTATAATAAAAATTAATAAAAATGCGTTTTAATTTTTTATAAATAACTTTTTATATATTAATTTTTATAACTTCACATTCAGTTTTATACAAGTTTGTACGTAAATAATTTTTTGTTTTAGAAATTAGAATCATAAATTTGAGATACATAAAACAAAATAGAATACAAAATATTAAAAGACAAAAATAGAATCAAACAAAAGTTATATATTAAAGTCAGTCTCAAGTAACGATTTAAATTTTAAGAAATAAAGCTTTCATTCAAATTAAATCAACGCATATCATTGAAAGCTTTTTATTTGATGATACAAATCAACAGTAATGTATCTGTATTTGTTACTCTCTGAATGCCAAGAAAGATAGAAAGATGTTTGAGTCGACTTGTATCACTCAAAATGGAAAACACCATTTGGATCTTTCATAACACATTAATTAGCAACTTTTTAGCAATTAACATACTTAAAATATTTGTCGTATGACAAAAACGGATAAATGTAGAATTAGTATATAATATTAACCTGAAACTTTTATAACATGAATTGAATCAATGCATATCTTCAGATATTGCAGACGTCAAATTATATTAGATATATTATTATTGTTATTATAGCTTATACGAAACATAATATGGATTGCACTGAAGTACAATTATGTACATGGCTTATACAAAATTTTCACAATAGCTTGCTTCCGTTTTGATTTTTCGGATTCGGATAAGTTTTCTAATTCTGTTGCTACTAACAGACCAAAGCTTTTCAGGGGTCAAGTTTGTGAGAGACCAACATTTGTGGAGAATTTTCTTTCTTGATTATTCATACGCTTTTGAAGAGAGTCACTTAAAGTTGCAAGAGAATGTTCCCAATATGTGCTATTTTTATTTTTCCAGTTAGGTTTACTTCCTTGTGATTTTTGCAATGCAGGAAATAGTATACTATCTCTTAAAATATTTTGACTTTTGCTGGATAAATTATCAGGTTCACATTGAGATTCACATTGTGACAAGTTATTATATTTCTGTACTTGTTCATAAGTTTTAAATGCTTCGTTTTCAAGAATTGAAGAAACAGGTAAAATTTGTCTTACAGATTATTTTTGATTGCACAGTATTAGAATGAAGATGCAATGAGGAGTTAGTATTTAAATTGATAAGCTTTGGATGATATAGCGAAGCAGATAAATTTGAAAGAAAATTATTTGACTTTGTACCAGAAATGAATTCAGGTGATATATTTTCAATGTCCACATTTATTTTGAGATAGTGTATTGAGCTTCAATGAATTTTTTGAATTTTTGCAATCGAATTAGTCACATTTGAGTAACATCTGAAAATAAAAATTAATTATTATTATTTTGTATGCATTCACTTATTATATATTTGCAATTAATTTAATCTAACCTTCTTTTAATATGACTGTCCAGAAATAACATATTTTTGTATAAAGTAAATGTGGTATGACGAGAGATCCTACTAATACTTCGCGTTTCTAATTCTCGAAATCGTTTTTCTCTGATAAATCGCTCACGTAAACGTAACCATCGATTTTGACAACTATAATAATAATTTTATCTTTTATGTATTTATGTGTGCGTGTGTGTGAGCGTGTGCATGCGTGTGTATAGTGTGTGTGTAATAGTAGTAGTAACGAGTGTGTGTGTGTGTTCGCATTAAATATATCATAAAGAATTATACAATTTTAAATCTTACCTGACATTCATTAACAATGCGATTTCTCTCCACGAGTTTTCTTTCATTTGTACATCTTTATCTTTTAGAAATGAATTATATAAATGCGGATATTCTCTTATTGCATCTATTAATGATTCATCATCTTTGTGAATATTTCTAGGTTAAACCCGTCATTAAACTGATTATCTTCGTTTAAATCATTAACTGAAGAATATTCTTAAGAAGAATATTCATGTTCACTCATTTTTTCTTTGTTATTGACAATTAACACGAAATATAATTTATAAAATAAACTGTTTTTGTGTTTTAATACATATATGCCATTGCACGGAATTTGAAGGAGATGGTCACATGTGATTGATTAACCATAGGACCATAAGTCATAAGCATAGAAATTTCATCCTTACGAAAATTTTCAATGTTAAGTTTTAAGTCTTAAGTTTTAAAATGACTGCCTTACTGCTTGACTGTGATTGGTCGATAAGTCTTACGTCTTAAGTTTTTTTATATGCCATGGCCTTAATACATAATGCATAAAAAAATGTACCAATCGAAATCCTCTGTTTCTTTCCATGAAATAAAGAATTTTGATTGGTTCAATTTCTTATGTGTTATGCGTTATGCAAGAGTCTGTGCTCCTCGCTTTAGAGACACGGCGATAAGTTATACGTCATACATGAAAGCTTGTGCGTAACTTACGTCTACAATTTAAGTCTAAGTAAAGTGGGGAGCGCAAACTCTTGTATAACGCATAATATGTAATGCACAAGAAATTGAACCAAAGTCCTTAGTTTCCTTCTTTTCTATGAAATAAAGAATTATGATTGCTTAAATTTCTTAAGCTTTGTGTGTTATGCGTAAGAAAATGTACTAATCGAAGTTCTCCGTTTCCTTTCTTTCCATAAAATAAAGAACTCTGGTTGGTTCAATTTTTAATGCCTCATGTGTTATGCGTTATGCAAGAATCTCCCCGCTTTATTATGACAATTCTTGCGCTCAGACTTCCCTTCTGTGTGTGCATAAGCATATATGAGAGGAGTTTGCGATTCGAATGCTTCCTACTGAGCACCACCAATACCAATTCGGAAACCTGATTTTGACCATACTTTTCAAAGCCTAGATCGGCCTTCTATTCTCTATACTCCATGGTAAGAACAGTAGCACAATTGAGTTCACAGATTTGTTCGTTTGCTGATTATTTTATTTGGCGAGTATCAATCATGAAACTTTTTTCCTAGGATGAAAAGTGAAAAGTGAACAATTTATCCATTAACTTCAATGATTAAAATTTTCAATTTTACTTTTCTGCCTAGAAATAAATTTTCATGATTAATACCCAGAAAGGAAGACTAATACCCGTATTCACAGTCAGACCATGTATTTAAGAGGTTCCGCATAATAAAAGAAATAGGGAACAGAGAAATAGGGAACAAAGAATAAAAATTTCAACTTATCAGAAATCATGTATTGTGGAATACAGTTTCTGATAAGTTGAAATTCTTATTCTCTGTTCTCTGTTTTCTGTTCCTTTTACTGTGCGGAGCCCCTATAAGTACGAGGGCAAGTCAATAAGTTTTCAGAAAAACATAGTAAAACACATTTTTTTTGATCGATTTATTTTTATTTCTTAACATAATCTCCTTTCAGCTCGATGCACTTGATCCAACAATTCTCCAACTTTTTCAAGCTGTCCGAATAATATGATTTGTCCAACCCTTCAAAATAAGCCTCTGTTTCAGCGATGAGCTGCTCTTTGGTGGTGAATTTTTTTCGAACTATTTCTTCAGGTTTGGAAACAGGAAACAGTCGCAGGGGGCTAAATCTGGCGAATATGCTGGATGGGGAAGCAATTCGTAACGGAATTCGTTGAATTTGGCCATCGATGCCGGGCACCCGTGCATTGTCTTGATGCAGAAGATCACTTTCTTCTTCGCCAAATGAGGACGTTTTTTCTTTAAAATATTGTTGAAACGGTCCAATAAGGCTGCGTAGTAATCGCCATTGATCGTTTGCTTCGACGGAAGGTAATCGATATGAATTATACCGCGTGCATCCTGAAAAAACTGTGGCCATCCTTTCCGATCGACTTTACGGTCTTCGTCTTCTTCGGAGTTGGTTCACTCGATGAAATCCATTGTTTTGACTGTTCCTTCGTCTCGGGTGTGAAGTAATGGATCCATGTTTCGTCTACAGTAATGAATCGACGCAGAAATTCATCTGGATTACGTTAAAACATCTCCAAACATTGTTTTGAAATCATCACACGGTCGCGCTTATGGTTCACAGTGAGCAAACGCGGCACTCATCTTGTCGATAGCTCTTTCATATCTAATTGTTTGTGCAGAATTGAAATCACTGTGCTATGTGATATGCCTGTGGCCTCAACAAACTCACACTTTCACTCGTCGATCAGTCAAAACAATATCGAGGACTTTCGATGATTTCTGGCGTAGTAGCCTCAATTGGACGTCCCGAACGAGCTATATCACATGTGGATGTACGACCACGTTTAAATTCATTCACGCACGCACGCACGCACGCACGCACGCACGCACACGCATACTTTATTATAAGAATACTTTATCGTATATAAAGAATACTTATCATATAGAAATATAATAGTCTACAACTTAATACAATATAGCATCTTCGAAAAAATTTGATTTAATTTTTTAATAAAACTTAATTTTATTAACCATTTGCTTTACTTTTCTCTTACAAATTAAAAAAAATTAAGTTTTATACGAACGACGTACCACGACTCTCACCCGTGATACTGTTTGGCCCTTTCCTTACTGTTTGGATTTCCTTACCACTAGTTTCACACGATATTATAGGCGTAAGAGTTAATTATATTTTATGGGAAAGAGATCCAGCTAATCTAATCTACTTGCAATTTTAACTCACAAAAGACAGCCATATTCCTGGTTGGAAATCGACGCATGCGCACTAAAAATTGGAGACCACATAAAAAGTTCAATGTCCATACTGTATGTACTTATATTGTGACAGTAGGTTCACTCTGTGTCGGCACCATAGACATATAAGAAAGACCCAGCATTAGGATCTGACCCCAAGAATTGTCATAACACTTACTTAAATTGTAGACGTAAGTAACGCACAAGCTTTCACGTATGACATACAACTTATTGTCATGTCTCCAAGAGACGGCAATAAATCGTACGTCATATGCCAAAGCTTGTGCGTTACTTATGTCTATAACTTAAGGGGATGCTGGAGCGAAGGCTAATCAAGGTCGATATTACAGGTTTTTATTTCCAATATATTGTATAAGATGCTTACGCCCTCTGAGTTAATATGATCATGCAGGAAATTCGATCGATTAATTATCGATATTTTTATTCCGTTTCCTACATTATCTTCTTAGCAGGGACGTATTAGGGTCGGTTCCACAAATGTAAAATTTATTTTGGAAAATTTTCCAATTTTAGAATTGAGAAAAAAATAAACCGTAATTGAAGTTATTCTTATATTTGTAGAATCGGGCTTTAGAAATACAGTTGTATTATGTACACATGCAGTGTAGGCCGCGTTCCAATATATACCACCAGTATTAAAAATTTGTAATATACATAAAGTACAGATTTTTAACTTTAATAGTTATATCGATACGAAGCCGTAGTAGCACTTTTTCCTTACATCCAATGGCATTTTAGGTAATAATAATATAGTATCAATAAATGAATACGACATTGCACATACATAATGTAATTCTTTTTCATGAATATCCATATATATATTCATATATATATGAAACACGTATCCATATATTGACAATAATATATGTTACATCTTGACTAAATCCTAAAATGATATTGATTATAAGAAAAAGTGATACTATGACTGTGTACCGATATTGATTGCGAGTACTGAAAATACGTAACTGTAGATTTTCAGTATTGACAGTGTACATTGACACATGGCTCTAATAGCATTTTTTCTATCGTACAATGTCATTTTAGATCATTTCAGGATGTGATATGTATTAGCTATACATAGATATATTACACATATAATATACGTAGCTATACCATTTTTTGCTACGTTTAATAAAAAGATGTAGAATGTTAATCATGTTAAAATATTAGTGGTGTGTATACTTAAATATAATACACATATAAGCAATATTATACAATATTGCATATATGTATACTATAATGTGTGAATATACACACGTTGCAGATAGAAGTTACCAATGTTAAGCTATTTATGCATTCCCTATGTTTAAATATGCAATATTAAAATTGTATACATATATAAAATACAAGGATATATATATATATATATATACAGATGTTTTTTTTTCAATCATGGGAAACGTCGTTACTCGATCTAACATCTCTGTCAAAAGTTACAGTGTTGCCAGATCTTTCCGTCGAATATGGTCAACCCTGTATATGTATATATGTATGTAATATATATATATATACATATATATATAAATATATTGGGTCATCTAAAAGTATCCGCGGTTTTTTGTCACTAGATGTGTGTTGATGGTCATATATCTAGTGACAAAGTACCGCGGATACTTTTTAGATGACCCAATATATTATATATAAAATACGTATAACAAAAGGTAGTATAAAAGAAGGGCAAAGAGCCAATAACGTATAAAATTTTAATTTAAATAAGCAAAATTAATACAAAACAATTAAAATACAATAAAACAAACTCCAATCGAGTCATTTTCAATGCAATCTT